GTTTAGGTGATAATAATGTGATATCACATGATAATAAAACAACAATATTGTGCAATGATACTATGATAGGTACACATAACACATGTCGAAGATATACCATTACTAACACCGGTAATTTGAATCTTAMGTTTCGTWGGTACTCCAAACAGTTTGAAGGTATTTAATTTTAGATACTTAACAAAATTATGAGTGCGTTAAATCTGAAGAATGTAAAACGAGATTTTTCTCAACTCAATTACCGACCAGATGCCTGCCATCCAAGTCTAATCAACGAATTAAAAAATATTTTGGAAGCCACAGGTGGATTAAGTTGAAAATGTCATATAAAATACTACTAAAAGAATTAAAACATATTGAGTCAATTATTAATTATTGTTTTAGGACTTCGACAAGAATATGATACTGCCTTAATTAATCTAAATTCTCATTTGCTCATTGACATCATTCAACGTGTAAATATTATTAGTGAACAATATTATTGTTGTTTATTAAATTTGTAGTTGGGATAWTTAAAAATTTATTTCATTTTTGAACTATAGGTATGCAAAATATGTTATTCGAGTACWTGCAACAAGGAAATGGTTGTCAATTTCTTAACATTTCTMTCCAAAGTATATACTGAACATTGTATTGACGATGCAGTGAAAAATACTGTTACAAAGTAAGTATTGTATTTTGTAATTGTATTGACTAAAAATATCTCGGATATTCAAAATTTTATTTTTTCAGATGCTTAAAATCGTGTCCATTAAAATGGCAATCAGAATTATCCATTGCTATTTCATGTCAATTTATTTTAAAAATGGAAAAAGAACAGAATTTATCTGAAACAGAATATTTCTTAAAAACGCTAAATGAATGTTGCGAAAAATTTCCAGATTATATTTCAAATTGCATTGACAAGGTCATGGTATTTTTTGAAGTTAATCTCCGTCGATCATATGAAATATTAGTGTAAGTAAAGATTTAAAAATCACTTTTCTAGTTAAAAGTATCAAGCAGTCTTAATAATTTAAACTAATGGAGACAAAAATAAAAATACTTTTATTTAACATACTAATTGTAATAGTATAGACTAACTTCATGTTATTAGGACYGTTATGTATATAATATTAAGTGCCTAAATATGTTCTTTTATAATATTTAACATTATTAACACTTACATGGGTTGATCAGAAATTAATATTAAAACAATGTTAAGCAGTACTTAATGATTTCATAAAAAACATATTATTATACATAATATTCTACCAGTTATTTATAGTACAAAATTTAATATTTTTGTGGAAAATTTAAGATTAATGTTTATTATCAATTTTTATGCATTTTAGATGTGAAAGCTGTCCTACACAAAAAATATCAGCTATCAGATGCGTTCATGAAAGTTTTCGCTTTTTTCTAACAGCTTATAAAAAGAATGTTTTTCCCGAGACTTTGCATTTTTCATTCAATACATGTTTTATGGATTTATTAGATAGTGATAACTTACCTATGGAAACTCTTTTCAACTGTTGCCTTTCAATAGTATATTCACTTATCAAAGAAAAATCAATTTTAGAATGCTGGAAGGTAAAGTAATTAGTTTACAAAAGAAATATAATAATATGACTATGTTTTAGATGTTTTTGGATAAACTTTCAACTCGTTCAGATTTGATTAAGTTAGGATTTTGTATGGCAATATTAAATACATTTACTGCTGACGAATTGAAAATCATTGAACCAATCACTGGGAAATCAATTTGTACAAATTTATTTAACATTATAATGGAAGCCAGTATTAGGTAATAAGTTTTTTTATTTTAATTGTCTACACATAATATTTTATTTCATCTTCAATGTTATTTGTTCATTTTTCAAGAAACTTAAATGATAGCAGTATATTAATATCTTCAAGCCGAGTGTTGGTTATATTTTCAAAACGATTATATACTAAAACCAAAATCGATATAGAGGAAGATCAAATTGAAAGATTAATCACTTTCCTTTGGACACATCTGGATCATTTTATAGATAGTGTAAGACATTCTGCTAGAGATGCTATGATAAATATAATAAAAATTAAAGGTAAGTATGTAGTTCTTATCTATGTAATATATATAATATCTATATCTATATCTTATATAGTTGGTCATTTAAYCGTCAACTTTTAAAATATCTTTATTTTCATTTTAATTCATTTTTAGATGAGTATATATTAGACAATGTATTGAATCGTTTATCCACATGTGATAAAAATTCTAAAGCATTTTTTACTGTTTTATCAATAATATCAGATAAAGTTGATTCTGGATCAATAATTAAATACTTACCAAATGTCTCTAAGACTTTAATTCATTTAATGACTTTTAACAATTCAGTGAGTAAAAACATTTTCAAAATAAAATATTTCTAAATCTTTATTTTTCAAATTATAAAATAGTAAATTACCTAATCATTATTCTATTTTTTTTTTTTTTTTTTTTAAATTTTTTTTTACAGGCCATAACAGTTTTTATAAATTTAATGATAAATAATTATACAATAACTGAAAGTAAACTTTGGTTTGACTATTGGTTGMATCCATTATTCAAGAATACAGATAAATTAGATGTTAAACATTTTGAACATATTATTACTAAAGCTGTTGAACTAACTCCAGATGTTTCAAAACATATATTTAAGTAAGTTTGTGTTTCAT